TCTCCCACCTCCTTTTCCCAGTCTCCCCAGAGGTTAATCCCCTCCCCCCCAGTTTTGTTAAATAAAGGGAGTTTCTATTTTTGAACACGTGTCCTTTATTTTTTACATCAGGAAGGGGGGCTAGGGAGGGGTAAGTGGAAGGAGGTGAGGGAGGAATGGGGCACGAGCCCCCAGTGGGGAGGACTGGGGTGGCTCTGCGGGCTCCTTGGGATGGAAGCCCTCCTGCAGGGCCTCCTGGATCGTGACAGCCCCCCGATTGACCCTTCCAGATGGCAGCCTGCAGCAAGCGCAGCTGGGCTGATGGCCGAGTGCTGTGATGTGCTGAGTGTAGGCACTCAGGGCACTCCAGGACAGGACTGCTTTGCTGTCCCTCGAGTTAGACAAGCAAGCGGGGAACCCTGAGAACTGTCTGTCCGGGGTGGGGGTCGGGTCCCTTTAAGCACAGCCCTCGGCTAACCTGAGGCAGCAGCTCCACACTCTAAGTCCTAACCTGATGCCCTGTCCGCACTGGTTCCGGCCAGCCTTAACTTCGGTTCAGGGTCCACTCAATGTGGACATGCTATTTCAAATTAGCAAAATGCTAATTCGAATTAGTTTTCAGGTCTAGATGCACTAATTCGAATTAGCTTATTTCGAATAAACTAATTCGAATTAAGTTAGTTCGAATTAGTGCTGTAGTGTAGACATACCCTCAGTGCCTTTGCAGTGAAAGAGGATTATATTTTGTGCCCATTCTGGACAAATCTCTTCCAATATTATCTCTGCAAGATAAGTTATTGCAGTCCACTGTGTTTCCCCAATGTGCTTTTGTCTTCTTTCTGCCCAGCTGTTGGACTACAGCCTACTTAAGGCAGGGACTGTGCTTCTGTTTGTAAATATGTGTAAACTGTTGGAACTTCACAAATTAAAATTAATAGCAAAAGTGAGAAGTTTTGTTTTAAAACAGAGTAGCTCTATCTTGAATTTAGTCTAAAAAGAATTCAAACACAGTTATTATTTTATTTTTTTCATGTAAAGAGTTGACAACACATTAGTCACTACACAAGATACATAATATAAGAAATCTCTCCTGTGAAGAATTTACAATCTGTCCTAGAATCAAAATGTAAAACAATACTGTGGGAAGACGAGCCAAAGATACGGTTATGAGAATCCATAGGCAGTGTTTATGCCAAGCAAAAATCAGATTTATTTAGGGAATGCTGATCGGATGTTAGATAGTGTGAAATAAAAGGCTCTAACAGTAACTAATAAAAAATAATGTAAAACTGAAGATTAAAAACTTCCCTAACTAAATGAGGTAGTGCTCAATAAATAAATGTTTCAGTTATTTAAAATAGGGAGCTTTATTTAAAAATAAATAACTGACTTGTAATAGGGACAAATGACACTTGATGGAACTGAAGTACATCACCAGTTGCCAGGCAACTACTGTAAACAGCTTGGGGATGGGCTTTTTAGATACAGAGAAACTGAGATTTAGCATACTGATTGTGCCCGTTTGTACAAGACCAAGACTGTGGGAATCATTCTGTAAGGTAAATGCAAAATCTTTCCTGCGTTCCTAAGTGGAGTGGGTTTTTTTTTGTTTGTTTTTTTTGCTAGCCTCAGTAGAATTAATCTGTAGTATCAGTGGAATCTGATGGCATACGAACCAAACAGCAAGTGCTGACTGATAGGAAAAATAAATTAGATGGGATATGTTGCTTCAGGGAACTGGTAATGCTCTGAATGTTTCATCTCAATGTTTCTGATTCAAATCCCACTGAGAGTGGTAGTGAACAAAAGTTTTGTTACTACTGGGTGGATGAAGTGGCCTATATAAAATGAATTTTATAGATCAGTAATTTCTATTGGACAAATCTCTGTTATAAAATCACATTTCTAAAAGGAGGTATCGGCAGAAGGGCTGACTGAGGGGATTCTTAGAGGGCCCTTCAGGTTTGGGTGAGGCATCCTGATAGGGTGGGAGAGCACCCATGATGCCTACCTGTTCTGTGAACAAAGAGAGCCCTTCATAATTCAGTAACTTTTGCAGACAGGAACAGCTCCCTGTAAAAGGGCTAAAAGTGTTGAAATATATGTCTGTATGAGTCTTACAGCAGTGTTGATTGATGGGAAGAGTGCTAAAATATGATAGGACTGAATGAATAATGTAAATGGAATCAGTTCTTTTTACTCCAAGATAGACTCTCCTCCCTGTCAGGGCAGGATGATATGGGAGGAGTGTGACTAAATTGCCTGTGCTCTTTCTGTGGTATGGAATGTCTGCATCAAAGAGAAAAGAAAACAAGCTAACGGGAAAGAGAATGGATTTTTGCTTATTTTCTTTTCCTCTCTCTCTCTCTCGCTCTCTTTATCCCATTCTCCTTTGTCCTTCCTTTATCATTCACAGAAATGTAGGCTCCAGTTCATCAAAGCTCTTAAGTATATGCTTAAGTCCCTTTTCAGTGAAGATTAAATATGTACTTAATTGCTTTGCTGAACCAACCGTTACCTGGGTAGCAAGTTAATTGTACCAGCTCTGTCCTGTCCTATTCCTATGCCAAATCACATTTCACTGGCTGGTACTAGGAAAGTGTGTCTTCTAGAAATGCAGACTGAATGTATCTTCACTGTTAAAAGATGCTTCTACTGGCAACAGGGGAAATTGCTATGATGGAGCTTCCCCTTCCTGCACAATGGAATGGGATAAACTGGGGTGGCCTTCTTCTTTGGAACATATGATGGACTCCAGCAATAACTTGGAGAACCATGAGATGCTATTGTATTAACGCAGCTTTTCAAATTGATCTTTATATTTTTAAGGGCCTTGTCAGCAGCAGCACTCAGGATTTTCGCCAGTGCTAGCAGGATGAAAACATCAGCCTTTTACAACAGCACTAATCAATTCCCTCTTGATGCTGAACTGAAGGTCACAGTCTCTGAGGACGGAGATGACCCAGCCAAGCACTTGGTGTTGCACAGCAGCTCCACTGCAAGTTTTCGGACTCCAAAGCCCTCTACCCCCTCACAAGACCTTTGCCTTTCCAAGCAGCACTATAGGCTCTACCAGAAAAAGTACTTCTTGAAGGTAGCCACAAACCTGAGGTTCTCCAAGGAAGTTGTGAAGCACAGAGGACTGCAAAGCCTGTCCTATAAAGAGTATGATTTCAAGGATCTCTACAATGCTTCTGACATCATCCAAAGACCAAAAAGGAAAGACCCCACTGCTAAGATAGTAAAGCAGCAACCACTCAAGCCTCGCCCTTTGAAGCAACCACCTCACAATATGAAACTGGATTATTCCCCACCTAAGGACATCAAGATTAAAGTTCCCATGGAAGAGAGACTGCACACAGCCAAACTGAGCAGCTCACTCAAAGAATCGTCTCTGCCACCTATTACTCCATCTCTTCCTTTTGAATCTCCTGCCTCCCAGACGTTCCTGACAGAACCCTGTGAAATGTTATCATCCTCCATGGCCAGAAGACAGACCAAGAGAGTATCCATGGATAACACGCAGGAATCAGAGAGTGAGGCCAAGGGATGGGAGCAAATGTTGTTGGAGAAGCTAAACAAGTCCACGGCTCAGTGGATTGTGAATCAACAGACTGCCTGGGGTGGCTGGATACAAGAGAAAGTACATGGCTTCAAAAAACAAAAGTTTGACTGGAGCAGAATCAGGGATGAGCTCTCTTGTGAAAGCGAGTTGAGATTACTGGATGCAATTCAAGCAGGAGAAGATACTGTGGAATTCAGTCCACAGAGCCATGTGGAGAAGAAAACAGAGACACTGCTTCCTGTTTATTACGGGTGAGGACTCATTCAAGAGGCATAATACTGCCTCTTCCGGCTTAGAACTGAGTGGTAAATACAATCCCAGCTCTGGAGAAAAATGTCAGAGTTTTGGAAAATGCTTTGAAAATCCAAAACCAATTATTTGTTTTTTTAAGAACTAGGAGTGCATTTGGTTGTTTCAGAAACAGTGCAACAGGAATGTGTTGGTGTTTCCGAAACAAAATGTGTTCCCAGGGTCCCCTGGCGTTGTGGCAGCCTACCATGTGAGCTGCTGAGGTGCCTGGGAGCTTGGTAGCCAAGACTTCCAGGTTTTCCCAGAGCCTCACTTGCCTGCCTCGTGTGCTGTCCAAGGGTCAGGAAGTACTGGTATTTCTGTGTGTCTGGTAGCTGCCAGATGGGATGCCGCAGATCCAGGAACCCTCAGAGCCCAGGCTGCCCAGCTGCCATTTAGCTGGACTCTCCAGGAATGAAGGAGGGGTAGCTGGAGGAAACAGGATTCTGTTTCACCAGAATTGATTCAGTCCACAACAATGTTTTGATTTTGATAAATCAGCATTATCTGAAAGAAAAATGTTTCATTGGAAAATTCCCAGCCAGAACTACAAAAGTTTTCCAAAGTGATTCAATACCTACATCTTTCATTGTCAAGCTAACATTCTTCTTCCCTTTCCCTTATCTCCTTATTGTACTACTTATATTGCCATAGTACCTAAGAACCCCTGTCACACACCAGGACTCCACTGTGCTAGGCCTTGCACAAACACAGAACACAAAGACGGTCCCTATCCCAAGGAGCTTATAATCTAAATATAAGACAAGAGCTAACAGATAAATAGAGACAGATGTGGGAGGTGGGGCTTCAAGGGACAATAATCAGACAATATTAGTGAGCATGATAGGCAGTGGTCTCAGCACACCAACACCCTAACTGCTTTTTGTATACATCTTGGCAAAAGAGAGTTTTCAGGAGGGTCTTGACAGATGACAGTAAGAGAGTTTTGCAGATGTTTATAAGGAGCTTTTCCTGGCTGTGAGGGGATGGCTGGAAGAGAGTATGAAGGTATTTGTTTAAAAATTTAAAAAGTGGATAGTAGAGACTGTCTTCACAGGCCAATAGGAATAAAAGTAAGTATCAACATCTTCATACAAAATGAGAGATGATAGAAAGGGTGGAGATTGACTGTGATGGGTTTTGAAAGTGAAGACAAGTAGCTTATGTTTTATTGGTAGAAAAGGAGGATCCAGTGTAGGGTTGCAGAGGCATGACATGGTCAACACTATAGGCAAAGAAAATGACCTTTGCAGCGGCATTCTGAATGGATATGAGCTGGGGAAGTTTTCATTTGTCCAGGCCAGAGAAGAGCATGTTGCAGTAATTGAGATGTGACACTTCTTATTTAATAGTGACTGTCAGCATAGTACCTTTCTTTGTTTTGAAAGCTGCAAGGCGAAACATGGATGCTGTTATAAGTGCCATTTAGTCCTCAGTCAAGGTCTGGGATCCCAGGTGACTCATATTGCTCTGATGCACGCAGTTCTAGTGGAGTTGGGTTGCTTACTGAGGACCACATCTGTTACAGATGCTCAGCTAGCCTCCTCTGAGAAGTGCTTTCAGCCTGGCTGGCAGCTCCATGCAGAAGAACTCAGCAGTGGGGGATGGGTCTACTGATCCTACACACCCAGGTGATGGTAAAAGTGCTCTGATAGCAGATAGCCAATGGAGTGACATAGATGATCCTGAGATTGCTTCAGGGAACAGGAATTTTTAAAGTGACAGTCTTGATCTTTGAGACAGAATGGCCTTTTGTCTGGGAATAGTGACTGTGCACACTCACAAGAAGCTACCCTGATCAGCTGCTTATGGTGATCATTTCCCCCCTACATGCATAGGTATCCTGGTATGGACTCAATTTAAAATCTGTCTTAAAGAGATCTCTTTGTTCCCCCCTGCATGGCTAGCATGGCCTTATATTTTTAATATTTGATATGATGCATATCACCTATTTGAGCAACTCTCAAAATTGTGAAGTGCACAAATAAGATAAACATACCTCTGTCTCTCATCCCAAAATATCAGGGCTTTTTATTTTCTTTCTGAGAAAGCTAGGAAGTGAGGGCAGGGAATGAGGCTGAAGAGTATGCATTAAAGAGAAAGAAAAAATACCTCATGGTTGCACGACAGCAGCCAAAGAGTGCTGAATGAAGCAGAGGTGGGCATGCTTAGTCAATCAAGATGAGCTAGGTAATGACGATGGTAATACAAGTGTTCCTGACCATTATTGGAGTTGGTGAGAATTATAAAAGCAACAATTCAATATTTTTAGAACAGCATATAATAGATATTAAGTTAATTTTTTAAAAATACAGCAAATACTGTCCCCTTTCCCTCCTAATTGCTTCCCCAATAAGCCAATGCTAGGCTAACGGCATGTTTATTTTCTGCCAGGGTGCCTGCGTACTGTCCGAGAGTGCTTTGGACAGACGATCCAGTTGGTACCAACAGTACAGCTCATATAATAGGAACGAAGTGTCTTAGACCAGCATCTCATCGGGAATGGCTGAAGTCCCGTGTTGGGAAATATTCCTACACCGCTAAAAATGCCTTTGAGCAGGAGCTCTACTTTGGTAATGTGAACTTCATCTGAACCTCTTGCAAATTCCCATGCATGGTTTTATATGGTGGATGGCTGATCTGGCCCAGCCCGAGTATTCAGGAAGCAGCTTGTAATCACAGGATTAGTGACTTTGAATCAAGTGTTATCAGACAAAAAACATTCACATAAAAAAGAATCTGGCACATCAGAAAAGGGCAGACAAATAAACAGTGACAAGTTTTTAAAGTGCTTGTACACAAATGCTAGAAGTCTAAAAAATAACATGTGTGAACTAGAGTGCCTTGTGTTAAAGGAGGATACAGGCAGTCCCCGACTTACGTGGATCCGACTTACGTCGGATCCCTAGATACGAACGGGGTGAGGCAACTCCCGCACATGCGCAGCAGCATTCCCGGGGCTCGCTCACCTGGGTCCTAGGATCCTCCTCCTCCTCGGGCCGGCTCCGACTGGGGTCCCGCAGAGCTGCCGGGCAGAGGAAAAGTGCCGTTAAAGGAGGATACAGGCAGTCCCCGACTTACGTGGATCCGACTTACGTCGGATCCCTAGATACGAACGGGGTGAGGCAACTCCCGCACATGCGCAGCAGCATTCCCGGGGCTCGCTCACCTGGGTCCTAGGATCCTCCTCCTCCTCGGGCCGGCTCCGACTGGGGTCCCGCAGAGCTGCCGGGCAGAGGAAAAGTGCCTCCCCACGCCCGCTGCCCCCTCCCCTGAGCAACAGGCTGCCGAACAGCAGACAAAAGCAGCCTCTCCGCCCCTCCTCCCCCTATACATGCTGGGCTCCCTGGGCAAACAAAGACTCCACCAAAACAAACAAAGTGCTGGCCTCATTGTGTTAGCAAAAAAAGGACCCTCCTCCTAGAACCCTGGGTGGTGTGTGGAAATAAAGCTATTAGCTCAAAGCATGGTGCAGAGCTGTTTGGTATTTGATGAGTTACTCTTTTAGTCCTGAGTTTGTCACAGGGACAGAAATAGATGTGAAATCTTCTGAACAGGGGAACAGACAGCAAAACAAACATTAGAGGGGAGTTAACCTTTCCCTATGCTATCCAAAACTAAAAAAAATGTTTGGCTAGAGTTTCCCCTACAATATGTACCAGTTCCGACTTACATACAAATTCAACTTAAGAACAAACCTACAGTCCCTATCTTGTACGTAACCCGGGGACTGCCTGTACTGAAATATTAGTCCGGTATTTTTGTTGAAACCATCTGGCAACCCTAAACACTGCTAATGCTAGGGGACTGCAGGCAACAGATAATATTCTCCACCTTTGGGTCTGGCTCTTCTGGCAGGCCATGTCCCCCTCTGGGTCTTGCTCTTAATATCTAACTAATTGCTTTTGGGAAAGAGGCCCAACTCTCCCTTGACCAGTGCACATGAACACCAGTCCTTCTCTGATGTAATAGTGACTATGAAATGCTAAGGGAGATTAGAGAGGCTATCAAAATAAAGAACTCAATAATAGTGGGGGATTTCAACTATCCCCATATTGACTGGGTACATGTCACCTCAGGAGAAGATGCAGAGATAAAATTTCTTGATACCTTAAATGACTGCTATTTGGAGCAGCTGGTACAGGAACCCACAAAGGGAGAGGCAATTCTCAATTTAGTCCTCAGTGGAGTGCAGGATCTGGTCCAAGAGATAACTATAACAGGACCACTTGGAAATAGCGACCATAATATAAATAACATTTAACATTCCTGTAGTGGGAAGAACACCTCAGCAGCCCAACACTGTGGCATTTAATTTCAAAAAGGGGAACTATGCAAAAATGAGGAGGTTAATTAAACAGAAATTAAAAGGCACAGTGACTAAAGTAAAATCCCTGCAAGCTGCATGGACACTTTTCAAAGACACCATAATAGAGGCCCAACTTAAATGTATGCCCCAAATTAAAAAACATAGTAGAAGAACTAACAAAGAGCCATCGTGGCTTACCAACAATGTAAAAGAAGCAGTGAGAGATAAAAAGACATCTTTTATAAAGAATAAGTCAAATCCTAGAGTAGTGAATAGAAAGGAGCATAAACACTGCCAAATTAAGTGTAAAAATGTAATAAGAAAAGCCAAAAAGGAGTTTGAAGAACAGCTAGCCGAAACCTCAAAAGGTAATAACAAAATGTTGTTTAAGTACATCAGAAGCAGGAAGCCTGCTAAACAACCAGTGGGGACCCTGGACGATCAAGATACAAAAGGAGCACTTAAAGACGATAAAGTCATTGCAGAGAAATTAAATGAATTCTTTGCTTCAGTCTTCACGGCTGAGGATGTTAGGGAGATTCCCAAACCTGACCCGTCCTTTGTAGGTGACAAATCTGAGGACTTGTCACAGATTGAAGTGTCATTAAAGGAGGTTTTGGAATTAATTGATAAACTTAACAGTAACAAGTCATTGGGACCAGATGGCATTCACCCAAGAGTTCTGAAAGAACTCAGATGTGAAATTGCGGAGCTATTAACTATGGTTTGTAACCTATCCTTTAAATTAGCTTCTGTATCCAATGACTGGAAGATAGCTAATGTAGTGCCAATATTTAAAAAGGGCTGTAGAGGGGATCCCGGCAATTACAGACCGGTAAGTCTAAGGTCAGTACTGGGCAAATTAGCTGAAACAATAGTAAAAAATAAAATTGTCAGACCCCCCGGGTAGCGCGGCTACACGGGGCTCGAACTAGGTAGTTCGGACTAGGGTGCCTATTCCGAACTACCGGTACACCTCGCGAGGAGTAACGGTAGTTCAAATTAGAGAGCCTAATTCGAACTACCTACTCCGTGCCGCGTGTAGCCGCAGGCACGGAGTCCGCACTAAGGGGGATTTAAAAATGGCAGCGCCCAGCAAGATGCAAATGAAGCCCGGGATATTTAAATCCCGGGCTTCATTTGCAACTTCGAATGCCTACATTAGCCACCCTAGTTCAAACTAGGGTAGCAGTGTAGACATACCCTTAGAGTTCTTTGAAGGGTTCAACAAACATGTGCACGAGGGGGATTCAGTAGATATAGTGTACTTAGATTTCCAGAAAAGGTTCAGAGAAGGGCAATTACAATGATTAGGGGTTTGGAACAAGGTCCCTCACCAAAGACTCTTACGTAAATTAAGTTGTCATGGAATAAGAAGTAAGATCCTTTCATGGACTGAGAACTGGTTAAAAGATGGGAAACAAAGGGTAGGAATAAATGGTAAATTTTCAGAATGGAGGGGGTAAATAGTAATTCCCCAAGGGTCAGTCCTAGGACCAGTCCTATTCAACTTATTCATAAATAATCTGGAGAAAAGGGTAAACAGTAAAGTGGCAAAGTTTGCAGACGACACTAAGCTGCTCAAGATAGTTAAAACCAAAGCAGACTGTGAAGAACTTCAAAAAGATCTCACCAAACTAAGTGACTGGGCAACAAAATGGAAAATGAAATTTAATGTGGATAAATGTAAAGTAATGCACATTGGAAAAAATAACCCCAACTATACATATAATATGATGGAGGCTAATTTAGCTACAACTAATCAGGAAAGAGATCTTGGAGTCATTGTGGATAGTTTTCTGAGACAACCATGCAGTGTGCAGCGGCAGTCAAAAAAGTAAACAGGATGTTAGGAATCACTAAAAAAGGGATAGAGAATAGGACAGAGAATATCTTATTGCCCTTATGTAAATCCATGGTACGCCCACATCTTGAATACCGTGTACAGATGCGGTCTCCTCATCTCAAAAAAGATATACTGGCATTAGAAAAGGTTCAGAGAAGGGCAATTAAAATGATTAGGGGTTTGGAACGGGTCCCATATGAGAAGTGATTAAAGAGACTGGGACTTTACAGCTTGAAAAAGAGGAGACTAAGGGGGAATATGATAGAGTATATAAAATCATGAGTGGTGTGGAGAAAGTGAATAAGGAAAAGTTATTTACTTGTTCCTATAATATAAGAACTAGGGGCTACCAAATGAAACTAATGGGCAGCAGGTTTAAAACAAATAAAAGAAAGTTCTTCTTCACACAGCGCATAGTCAATCTGTGGAACTCTTTGCCTGAGGAGGCTGTGAAGGCTAGGACTATAACAGGGTTTAAAAGAGAACTAGATAAATTCATGGAGGTTAAGTCCATAAATGGCTATAAGCCAGTATGGGTAAGGAATGGTGTCCCTAGCCTCTGTTTGTCAGAGGGTGGAGGCGGATGGCAGGAGAGAGCTCGTTTGATCATTCCCTGTTCATTTCACTCCCTCTGGGACACCGGGTATTGGCCACTGTTGGCAGACAAGGTACTGGGCTGGATGGACCTTTGGTCTTTCCCAGTATGGCCATTCTTATGTTCTTATGTTCATACTAAAACACGAGAGCTACGTCTATATTGGCATGATCTTGCGCAAATACTCTTCAATGCAAGAGTTCTTGTGTTAAAGTATTTGCGCAAGAGACCGTCTACACTGTCATGTGCCTTTGTGCAAGAGATGTACTTTTGCGCAAGAGCATCCGTGCCAGTGTAGACGGTCTTTTGCGCAAGAAAGCTCTGATGGCCATTTTAACCATCGGGCTTTCTTGCGCAAGAAATTCATGTTGCCTGTCTACACTGGCCTCTTGCGCAAGAACAGTTGCACAAGAGGGCTTATTCCTGAGCAGGAGCATCATAGTTCTTGCACAAGAAGCACTGATTTCACACTTTAGAACTTCAGTGTTCTTGCACAAGAACTCCCCGCCAGTGTAGACAGGCAGCATGTTTTTGTGAAAAAGCGGCCGCTTTGGCGCAAGATCACGCCAATGTAGACACAGCCATGGGCAATTGTTGTAAACACTGCAAGAATGTACTGATTTAACTCTATTGACACTTTTAATCTCAAAGGACTGGTGCCTTGTAATGTAGTGCACTCTGTGGGGCCACAGCTGGAGACTGTTTGAAAAAGTTGCTAGTGCAGAATGCAGCAGCATGCTTGTTAAATGCTGCTGCAAACAGAGAGCTCATTGCAGCATGAGGGGTTCTTGACTCTGGGACTCACTCATTTCATTAGTCTTACAGATAAGTTTTTTAGGATACAATGAAAAAGATCTGTCTGAGGTAGAGGACTGTATATATTAAGGGTCTGGATAATCTTATATTCTTAAAAAAATACCTTATATTCTTAGGTAGTCTGTCATTTGGCAATCGGGTTGGACTTGAATGGGCAAGTTTGTTTAGATGTCTGTTGTTCCTTGTGTGCATTTTAAATAATTGAACCAGTGCATAGAGCTTTGAGGTAGGAAGTAGTTAAAGGGGCTCCATCAAGTTAAGCATATTTTTGTTTGAAATAGTCTCCCTGCTATGGTTACAAGTAATGCTGGCGAACACAGTAACAAAAAGAGATTGAAGAAAATAATTTCTTGCTTTCTTCAGTTTGTTCTCTGTGTGTATTTGGCAGCATTTTGTGAATAGTCAGATCCAGTTTCCTCTGGATGTTTAGTTTTAAAGAACCAAGAAAAATGTAATGGTAAAGCCAAAGAAATTAGCGAGGTAAGGGCACTGGGGCAGTCTCTGAAACAATTTTTGACTTGTTATTTGGGGTTGATGGTAAGTTTTTCATTAAATAATTTTGCCATGTCCATGCTGATATGCTAACATATGGATTCTAGGCTCTTATCTATGTAGACCTTGTGAAATTATGATCAGCTCCATCATCCACAGGATCTGAGAAATCAGTGGGAAAAGATCTTCATTCCCGTTTAAAAGTCTCAGAAGGGCACCCGTGTTGATCTGTAATGTTAAAAACAACTTTAAAAAAAACAAGTAGTCCTGTGGCACCTAGGAGACTAACAAAAATATATGTATCAGATCATCTCATATGGAGAAGTGGGTTTTGACCATGAAAGCTCATACTACTATACATATTTTTGTGTTAGTCTCTGAGGTGCACAGAACTACTTGGGTTTTAAGTTATTCCTGTTTAAATGAGACAAAATAGAGGATAGCTAGCCTACCGGTTGTGTGTTTCTGGAGAGAGATGTAGCCTCAGGAATGACCCCTGTGCAATTGACCCCTGGACCGGCTTTGTTGCAAAGTTAACATACTGATCAAAAGTTATAAATTTTTTTCTGAAATGGACCCAACATCTAGCTCTAAAGCCACAGCTGCATTGTAACTGACTCTTGAAACCCTCCCTGGGCTGCATTATGAAGGCCCTCCCAACAGCAGCAATAGCATTCTCAAAAGTCTTGGGGGAAATAATAGATTTATCCCCCTCTTAGTATGTTTCTAATCTACAAAGCCCGACAGTGGATATAGACAGTGAGGATCTACTGTGTACATTATTTGTTCCTGTGTATATTTAGGAGCGACGAGGAGTCCTGTGGCACCTTATAGACTAACTGAAGTGTAGGAGCATAAGCTTTCGTGGGCTTTTGCAGATTCAGACTAACACGGCTACCCCTCTGATACTTGTATATTTAGGGACAGTCAAGATTGTCCATCAGATAGATGAGATAGGGAAGGATCGCATCGTCCTGGAGAATCATGATGAGTACTACAAACACCTTCAGCAGCACTTCCCAAGACCTCCAGAGCACTGGAGTTTCAGGTCACAGAAAGCAGGTATGAGACCTATGTCAGCATGGGAGACACTGAATACTTCAGAGCACTGCTTTTTACAAGTAGATTATGACTCTAAAAGAGATTGTGTAGGGGAAATCATTCCTGTTTCTTGTCTCTGGCTTTCCATTGAAGTAGACTTCCTTGTTTACTTGTGATTGAGTCCTACTAAGTAGTAGCACATAAATCAATATGGTAACTTTTGTGGTGTACCTTTGAAATGCATGGGCATATAGTGCCAAAAATTCTAGGGTATATCTGAGTAGTTTTAGTTGAGAGGCGATGAATATGGGGTTAAGGTATGAAAGAGGATGAATGCTCCTGCTTTCAGTTGGACTTTCCTACTTCGTGTGACTTTTGAGAAACACCAACTGATCAAATATAGACCCGCAGACTGTCCTGTTGTAGTGACAGGCTTTTGAGCTGAGATTTTGTCTTTCTTTAGCTTTCTCTATTCTGCAAAAAATTTTTACTCATTCACTAATTTATAGCAAGACCCCCATCCCTGTATCAAATCCTGTAATAGTAAGTTATTTCATAATTGAAAAGGGGTAGAATTAAGGTTGCACAGATACTTTCTAACTTCCGAGTGCTTGATTTTGCTACATTAACTTTTAATGTGATAATAAAAAAACAGGGAGGAGGAACCCACAACAAATTATGTGTAACTCTAATGGCCCCGAGAAGAATCATCAGCAGATTTTGGACCCTAGGACCTTTAGATTTATAGGCTTAGCACAGATCTCTACAACTGGAGTTAAAGAAATACCTCCTTAGCTGTCAGAAGCAGTAGACTGTTATCTTCCATGAAAGAGCCATTTGAGGAGACTAGTTAACACATGGAAAGTACATACTTTTGGCAGTTTATTTCTGAGAGGCAGAAAGATCTGCATATTAGAGAGCTTGGTTTTGTTCCTTACCTGCTCTGTGATCTTTTGCAACCTTTCACATTCCTTTTGTAAAATGAAAAGGGACTGATACAGATTTCTCTCCTGCAATAAGGGTTTGAGGCCATCCATACTCAATAAAGACTGAAGTTTGAAAAATTATTAACATCAGTCAGTAGAAGAAGTGCATCTAGAACTTACGGTCTTTTGGACAGTTCAGTGCATCCCTCCTATGCCAAAGAATATTTCAAAGGGAGAAGCGGTAAGAGGAGCAGGAGGAGGATCCATCTTATTTGGAGGGAGATAGTGTTTTGTAGGCCCTCAAGAATGATGCAGAAGGCTCAGTGGGGCCTGGGTGTATATATAGTCTAATTGTTCATAATTGTACTCATAATTAAAATTAAAGACAAGTCTTGAACAAGTTCTTCTGAATATATGCGACTGGCAATTTTCTGGTGCTCGTAACTTGGCAAAATATGGACAAGCTTTCATGGGGACAGAGAAAACACCTCTTTGATCACAGACTTATCCCTTGCACTGTTTTGACTTGTGCTTTACCTGCTCTATGTGTGTGTGGAGGCTTCAGTTGTCCAAGCTATTCAGTAAAAACACACTGTATGAGATAAAACTCTTAATTCTACTCAAAGGGGACAGCTTCCAAGTCTTCATCTATCCCCAAATTCACTGTATTAAAGTAGCCAGTGTCCTGCCTTTATTTCTCTCCATCCAAAAGAAGGCTAGGTACAAAAAATTAATTTTTTTTTCAGAAACACTGAGGTGTGTGGTGTTTCTTAGTTGATCATTTTGGGGATAAAGTGGGCTGGTACTAATCTGTTTCCAATAATATTGTCTAAGCAGCTCGGAGGCCTGTGAGAGGAGCTTTCCATTGGATTGCTCTGCCTACCCTTGCTGATGATTTTGCACAAAGGGACCAGGAGTCAACTCCTGCAAAGGCCAGGAGAAGGAGAGTTAAACACAAGGAGCCTACAGAAGTCCTGTCTCAGCACATACATATCCTCAGAATTATGCTGGAGCAGTGGAAGAGTGCCTGGAAGCTGAGTGAGTAGAGGTGCTTATTGAAATTCCAGTCTCTCTGGTCTATAGTGGCTGAAGGTAGACATTAGTCTGCTTGGTGAGTCATGCAAGAGGAACTGGCAGTCTTTGATTGCCTGTCTAAAACTCTTTCCTATGCATATGTCTATAACAGTAAATAATATTTTTTATTCTAAGAGGTCACATAGTCGCATCTCCTCCATGCAGGATTGTTCTCACCTGTAGATTATCCTATGCTTTGTCCAGTTTAAAATGAACCCAGAGATGGGACTTCTTCACAATTGGTAGATGTGTTAAAGATTCCAGTTCTTTGTTATCAGAACATATTTGCTTCTGTCTCCTTCCTTCCTAATGCTCAGCTCCCCGTTGGCAGAATGCAACCATTGAAGGCTTAATGAGAGCTCTCACAGATATACATGATATCAGTCGGGTCACAGCTCTAATAACCTGTGCCACCGCAGTAGTGGAGCGACCCAGACTAGATAGTGACAGCCAGGAGTCAGGTGAGAGAAGCCTAATTTAACACTGTTGACTTACACTGTTAATGTGAGGAATCATGTTGCTGTTATATAATTGGGGTGAAAGTAACTTAAATTTTTTATAGCTACTGTCCTATTGCAACCCGGGTCCCTGCCAGCTCTTTAAATAGCTCCCTGCTGGCTTTTGCTGCAGCTCATCTGGTTCTGGCTGGAGCTACACACCAGGGTGCATGCCCTCACTTTCATCATGAAATACAGTTTCTGAACAAAAATAAAAGGAATGGCCTTATATTACTGGAAGCAGTGTTATGACATCACTGGTAGACAGTAAGAATGCTCCAATTTGGACTAATCTTTTAAAGCCATTTCATACATGACCTGTATTAAGTACCCTAAAATCAGATGATTTGATCAGTCTTATTTTTAAATATATATAAATTCTGAACACATCCTCTGCATTCCAGATGGACTATCCTGCATATATTAAATATGAGAGGAACCATGTTCTTGTGGTTAATGTACATGGCTGGGAATGCGGAGATAAGGTTGTCTCCCCTGGTTTGCCACTGACTTCTTGATGTGTCCTTGGGCAAGTTACATGCCCTCTCTTTGTCTGTGTGTCTATCTATAAAATGGATTTGAGCATGCCATGGGTTGTGAAGTTTAATTCATTACTGGTGTGAAATGCTTTAAGATTCTCAGTAAGGGGGGAGGTATGTTTGAGAAGGGCAGTATATTTGTAAATTAACATTTAATCAAACACTCCATATGGCAAAGGGATAAAAAATATGTTGCTGTTTCCGTGTGGATAGCAGAGGGAGAAACAGAAAAGCTGCAGTCTCATTTAGAGCTCCTTATTTCCTCAGTTGTAGGACTACATGGTATTGGAAAGGCCTCAGTTATTCAGGATGTGCCTGTAGAATTACAGCCTTTGCTTAGCAAGACTTTGAGGGATGAGAATGCCCATGTGAGAATGGCAGCTGCCGTGTGCCACTACACCACTGGGATGTGGAATGATGAGGCACGGATGATCATGAAAGATGCTCTGGTGCATGGTAAGTGGCTTGGCTGTTGCTTCCCTTTGTTGTTTACTTTTCTCCTACACCTTTATCAGCTTCAAAATTCCTAGTTTGCAGCTACACCCTTCAGCCTAAATGGCATAGATACAGCTCCCTCCCAGTCCAGAGCCATTCAGTATATTAGCAGAGTGGTTCACTGGAAAGAGAGGGAAGGTGGGTCTTTCCCAGTTTGGAGTGCAGTGCCTCTGAACATTATGTGCCTTGCCAGTCACAAAGAACTGGGACTGGAAATGATAACCTTTATAAGAGAGTGTAATGTGCTAAACCACCAGTGCTCCCACACAACCACTTCATGTCATTCTGATTCAAGATAGAAGGGAGGAAATCTGGTTGATCCTTGAAAAACATTCAGTTCCTTCTGCTTCAGGGCTTAACAGTTGTTCAGCAGTGCACAACACTGCTACACTATATTTAGAAGGGGAAGTAAAGAATATTGTGTCCAGCAGACAATTCTGCAGTGATACTTTAGAATGACTTTTGTGGCCCAGACAGTTAAATGTACTGCAGCTATTTTCACTGACTTTCATATAAAGAGAAACAGGTATCTGGTATTTATTAGTGTTGCTCAAGAAAAAGAGAAACATCTTTAAAATTAGCTATCTCAAGAGTCTGGGTGCATCACACACTTCACATTTTAAAAGTGAGATTGTAGTTAGTGGTCTGTCATTTCTAAGAGGCCTACTTAAAACAGTGGCACTTGCTTGGTGTCATTTTGGAATTAATATTTTATTAATAATTCTGTTGACCCAAGCATGAGTCACAATTTGGAATCTTGAGGGTGTTCCATTTGAGAGTAGAAATTGATGATGGATTATGGTGGGGGGGTTTATGTAATCTTTGTTGTATACAGGTAATATACAAATTATAGAATCATAGAAGATTAGGGTTGGAAGAGACCTCAGGACTTCATCTAGTCCAACTCCCTGCTCAAAGCAGGACCAACCCCAATGAAGTCCTGCTTCTCCAAAAGCTAAAGGAGATAGTTCCTTTGCACATTCTCTCTCTGACTTCTTTCTGCCCTGATCACGAACTTGCTTGTCAATTCTGCAGGACATGGGGGGTGACAGCCTGAGTCTTCAGTTTGGAACATTAGTGCTGGAGGTTGAACTGTCAGTGCTTTTGAGATATGCTAAAGAAAGCATTATAGCAACAGAATGGACATCATATATCCTGTGGTACAGTAACTTCCCCTCTCTCTTTTTTCCTCCTTGTTGGTAGGCAATTCTGCAGATAGCTGGGCAGCAGCACAGTGCCTGGCATTGGAGGGCATTGTCACTGTCCCTGTAGTAAAGAAGATCCTTTCCCAGATGTTTGATAACAATGACAGTACCACAGAGGAGCAGGCGTGTCTTCTATTATCTCAGCTAAGCGAACACTCAGTAGGTACCCTCACTGGGGAGGAGAAAGATGCCACAGAAAGAGAGGAAGGATCTTTGTGGCTGGGATCGGTCCTGCCTTCTGGTTCTGTCTCCCTGGGTGAAATTCACCCCATTCAGAGGTCCAGCACAAGACCTGTGCACCACTTAACTCCTTGTCCTGAATCTCTGCACAGGGGTGATTTTCTCACTCTGCAAGAAATGACTGAACAGAGTCTGTTCTGCTGTGGTTTATTTATTACTTTATCCAAAGCTCTATTTCAGGTCTTCTCAAGGTATAAATACACTGCATGCTCCTTTCAGCAGCATGTAGAATACATATACTGCATGTCCTCCGTAAATGTGGGCATAAATAGTAGTGTGGATGGTGATACACTGTTCAGGCATGTAAAAACACATCTGAACCCTCTAAGTATGCTCCTGGATATGTACCCTTCAGGCAATGTACCCTCTAATCTTTTCCATCCATGTGCAGATTTTTTCCATCCAAGTGTGGATACTTTTTTTTCTGTACAGCAAGGCACATACAAATGTGCACCACAAGTAAAAACAAAAAATCTAGCTGTGGGCTAATCACCTGGGCAGCATTGGAATCTGTCCTGCATGGCCGCACAAGTGCACAGATTTCAGGGAACACTGCCTACAGGGCTTTTTACTTGCCCATGCAGGGCTTCCCTGTAGCAGTGTAGTGTCCTGCTGATTCCCCACTTCTAGAGTCTTTTTCCCCACAGGGAGCTGCCAGAGTCTTTCCCTGCCACAGTGAAAGACTTAGGCAGTGGAGAAAGGCTCTGGCAGTTTCTCAATGTTGAGCCTTTCCCTGCTGCATCCCTGGTGCTGGAGCCTTTTACTGATGCGTAGCTACACACCATAGTATGGCTGCAGCCTGGTTTTCACTGTGCTATGCAGCTACACATACCATACATACCACTGCAAGAGTATGTGCAGTGCAGGATGTATCCTCCGTCATTTGAGAGCAGGAGCACTTCTCTCTTGGTTCTACATTTAATGTTGTTTATAATTGGATAGGAAAATATAGTAAAAATAAAAGCAAAAAAAATTAATTGAAGAACCAATTTTGCTATTTATCTATCTGTCATTTCTCGCAGCAAGAATTTCTGCTGCTTTCATTTCCCATCCCCTAAAAGCTGCAAAGGTTTATCGTTTCCTGTGAGCCATGTCCACGATTCTTCCTCTACCGTAAGAGAGACTGTAGCAGAGTTTTAACCCTCTTTAATTGCCCTCCCTCTTGTCCTTCTAAAGAAACCAAAATCATCTTATCTCTCCTTATGGTTTCATTGGGATTTTTTTTATTAGGTGTTTTTTTCTATACAGTGTATCATAGAAACCTTCCTGCTCTGACCAAACAAGCGCTCGTCAGCTGTGTTAGGCAAAACAGCATAAGCTAATTTCTGTAAAATATTGTGGGCATCTCTAGGCCCTTCTGGGTGAGGCTAAGCTCTTTCATTGTGCTACATGAGGCTAAGAGTGGGCTGTAAGTGACCGATACTTAGCTTTTGATGTCGTTTGGGTGTTGAATATAACAGCTCATCCAGGAAATGTCTTTGTTCAGTTCCTGGGGAAATGTGTCAAATTTCTATATGAAGGCCAGTTCCTCAGTCTCTCACTCTCTTAGTTGGTTCCTGAAATTACTCTGCAAGAGAATATCTAGCTATTATGTCAGTTCTTAGTGTACTTGTTTTACCCTGCACTCTTTATAAACATCTTCCTCCTTTTCCAGAGCTTGGTTTACTCCCTACTAGCAGCCAAACTGAACAGCTGCCAGTGGAAAGATCGGATTTTAGCCTGCAGGGCTCTCTCTCGTATCCGGGGGAATATAAGCCAGGTAAGCTTGCCTCAAGCTCCCTAGACATAAGTGACTTTCAAATTCTAGTGAGTGTTAGCATACTGCAGCCGCTTAAGAAATGGATCATTTTGGCCCTGCACAAATGGAAGTCAGTGGCAAGACTCTCACTGACTTCACTAGGAGCAGGACTGGGACTTCTTATTGTCCACACTTCTAGTAGTTTCTTCTCAGCCATAGATTACACAGTTTATTCAGGACACCACACTTCATGACAGCTTCTACTAAAAGCAGAAGCTCTTTCTCTGTGTTCCTCTACCGGGAAGGTTTGACACACCAGAGTAAAAAGTTATCAACTAAATTGTGTTTTAATCTAAGCAAAATGGTGGTGATGTGATCTCACATTAAAAGATCATTGCACTACTGTATTTAAATCACTGCCCACACAGCAGGAGGTTGACAGGAGGAAAAGCTCCCATCAACTTTCCTTACTCCTCATGAGGAGCAGGAGTACTGGTGCCGATGGGGCACCCTCTGAGTTCAATTTAGTGCATCTTTACTAGACCCGCTAAATTGAATCTGGAAAATCGACTGCGATAGCATCGATCTCCCCTATAGTGTAAACATGCCTGCAGTGTTAGTCTAATTTTACTTCTACTAAAGTCAATAGTAAAATTCCCACTGACTTCAATGGGATCAAAAATAACGGGTCTGGTAGCACTTTAAACACTAAAGAATTTATTAGGTAATAGGGCATAAGCCAGTGTTTCTTAAACTTTTTTAGACCGAGAACACCAAACAATAACTTTTATGAGTAACACTAAGGATTTTTTTGTTGAGCAAAAAGAAAAAATGTCGGGGGAAATATGGTCGGTGGGGGGGAGTTATTGAGCAAAAAAAAAAGGTTGCCTGCCCCTTTAAGGGCAGCCATTTTGAATTCTGTTGTTCTCCGCAGCACATCTCCAACTGCCTCGTGGCACACCGGTGTGCCACGGAACACAGTTTAAGAAACACTGGCATAAGCTTTCATGGGCTACAATTCACTTAATCAGATACTGAAAAAAATTAAAAAGGATACAAAGATGGGCCTATCGAGCCTCTCCCCTCACTGTCACCAGCTAATTAAATCAGAGTAGACTTGGCTCCTCTCTAACAGTGGTGAGAAGGTAAGAGTACCTGAATGGGAAATTACCTATTGTAATGCAAGAATCATTCCATGTGTCTATTTAAACCTTGGTTTAAGATATCAAATTTGCATATAATTCTAGCTCAGCAGTTTTCCATTGCAGTCTGTTTTTGAAGTTTTTCCCCCTGACAGTGGCAACTTGCAAGTCAGAAACTGTGTGCCCAGGGAGGTTAAAGTGCTCCCCCACTGTTTTTTGTATGTTGCCATTCTTAATGTCTGATTTGTGTCCATTTATTCTTTTGCATAGAGACAGTCTGGGTCGTCCGATGTACATGGAAAAAGGGTATTTTTGGCATGTGATGGCATATATTACATTAGAAGATGTGCACGTGAATGAGCCTTTGATGGTACTATAGCTGATGTGGTTAGGGCCTGTGATGGTATAGACGTGTGTGTAGCAGAGATCGGGTCAGAGCATCTCTGAGCCCCCTACCCTCTCTCCGCCTCTATCCCCTTGTGGCCCCTATCGAGCCACTCCCCTCACTGTCACCAGCAGTCCCACCACGGGGGAGGTCCCCTTTTCTAGCTTCTCCCTCGTCCACCGGCTCGCCTCTGGGTCGCTTGTCTAGCTGAGATGGTCCCGGCTTCCTGCCATCCGCTCCGTCCCCGGGGCTACCTTCGCTCCACCTGCTGGGGTTGAGTGCACAACCAGCTCCTGCTCTGCCCCTCTCCTGCCATCTGCCCTCCCTTTTGTATTCCCCGCGTTACGCTACGCGGCGTCCCTGCATAGGGGCCGGTAGCCACGGGGTCCTAACACCTGCGGATTCAGGCTGGGGCGCCTCTACGCATGTGTGGCCAGCTCACTGTTCACCGCTCGGCGCACCGCCAGCAGCAATGGTCAGGTGGCTTCTTGTGTGGGGGTCTGGTCCCCCATCACAATGTGGACAGAGATGGCAACAGGATTTGTGACAGTAATAGGTTCCTAGATTAGTGTTTCCGTTGTGGCGTGTGAAATTGGTGGTTTTTGTCTCAAAGTGGAGGGCTGTCTATAAGCAAGGATTGGCCTGCCTTCCAAGATCTATGAGAGTGAGGAATTATCATCTATGACAGGTTGTAAATCCTTGATGATGTGCTGGAGAGGTTTTAGCTGGGGGCTGTAGGTAATGGCTAGTGATATTCTGTTGTATCTGCCCGACTTTATCAATCTGTTTCTTCACTTCTGGTGGTTATTGTAGTTTTAAGAATGCTTGAGCGAGATCCTGTAGGTGTTTGTCTCTGTCTGAGGGATTGGAACACATGTATTTGTATCTTAGGGCTTGGCTGTGGACAGTGGATCATGTGATGTGTTTTGGATAAAAGCTGGAGGCCTGAAAGTAAAGCGGTCAGTAGGTTTTCATTGTAGAGTGGTATTTATGTGATCATCACTTATTTGTACTGTAGTGTCGCAGAAGTGGATCTCCTGTGTAGAGTGGTCTAGGCTGAGATTGATGGCGAAGTGGAAACAAAGTTAGGCCAATATGCGTTCCACCATTCACTTCAATGGCAGCAGAATTAGGCCCATGGAAAGCTTGTTTGAAAATCCCATTCTAAATTGGTGTCTTTGAATTCAAAGCCCAAGGTTGGTTAATACTGTAATGAGTCAACTTCAGCTCGTGTTGATCTTGTGCATAGGACCTGAAGAACAAGCTTGCACAGTTGATGTGGAATGACTGGAACTCAGAAGTACGCCAGGCAGCTGCCCTAGCACTGGGTCGTATGAAGCTTGGAAAAGAAGTCCATGACCAACTCAGGTGAGAGTTAACCATCATGGTAGCTTTGCTATGGTGAAATGGAGATCAGAACTATTATCACTCAAGAGTTTTGGTCACTTTTGACATCCGTATAGCACTACTTAGCAACAACCATATTAGTATTGCCTTTGCTGAATGGTGGAACCTATCTAGACAATAGATTGACAATGGCACATCCACAGGACTGCTACAGCACTATATTTTTTGGAATGATGATGTATTTTGTAATCCTAATCTATGACAGAAACTTTGCTTTCTAATACATATTGAATGTATGGGTTTCTTTGTTTACAATTACAGCCATAATAATTGCAAGCACATCCCATTGCACGTATACGACTGTTCTTGACATTACCTAGAAACTCTTGCGGGGAAGCAATTACTATATATACTTTTGAATCAGATACTTACATTAAAATTTCAATCCACTAACATGGACTCAGCCTAATTCAGTGTCTGAAAACTGTGAGACCCAAGATAACATTGACGGCTAGAAAAGTTGCATGTCGGCAGCTGAAAAAGAGACCAAAGTTAGGGGCAAATTTTATAGAGCCACTTACATGCATCACTCACTTTTGTTAGTTTCTAGATTACAAAATGATGGGCGCTATCCACTTTATTAGCCTACCTGTGAATATGGTTAGTTTCTAGATTACAAAATGATGGGCTCTATCCACTTTATATGTGGATTAGCCTACCTGTGAATATATCCATTAAGTATTTACAAGCAAATCTCCTATATACTCCAGGAGACATTAGTCTGCAGTAAGGAGTATGTGAATACTCTCATTGAGGACTTGTGTGAAGTGTAAATATAGGTCTCTTGCACAGTGTCCCCAGGAGTGCTGGGACTCATTATAGAGAGACTAAAGGACTGAGTTTTTTTTTTTAAAGAGCAGTAAATGGGAAAGGAGCCAAATGGGGAAATAATGAGTCTCAGTCAGTATAACGCTCCCATCTTTGTGTGACTGTGCATCTGCCTGGATCATGCAGACCCCCCACATCCCAGCAGTTGTTTGTTCAGAACTCCTTTGTGCTCTCAGGGTGAAGCTGATCAGAGGAGATTGCCGGATGAAGGTGGAAGCTCTCTCATTGATTGGCTGGCTACGGCTTATGACAGCAAAGTTGCTCCCAGGCTTCCTTAAGTGCTTCTCCAATGACTTTATTGCAGTCCGGAGGGAAGCTTGCCTTACAGCCGGAGCACTCAGAATCAGAGATGAAATGGTAAATGGTGTAAAAAAAAGTCCTGATAAATGATCCTAAACACAAAAGAGAAAAAATGATTGTTTCCTAAGTTAATGCTAATTCTAATTTGTGTATTCCTTGTTCAAGGCAGGATGTACTAATATGGAGCACTCACTTTTGATAGTTTCTAGTTTATAAAATGATGGGAACTGATACTGTTAAAGAGTTTATTGTGAGTTTTGAATATTTTTCCCATATGGAATGAGAAAAAAATTATGTATCTCCAAAATATTGGGCAGGAACATGCATGCTGTAAAAATAAAATTGAAGTAAATTAAATTGAAAAACCAGTCTGCTCACCAGTATATAAAAGGGATCTAAGGGACAAGGAACGTGTTTGTAGTGAAAAGCATGCTTCCTTCCACTCCCTCCCTACACAAATCTTCACCCAGAATATTAATCAAACTGTTCTTCTATAAGGCTTGGGAAAAATTGATTAATTTTTAGAATCATTTTTTTCGGGTTTGCATTCAGTGTCTGAACCAGGGACAGAAGACTAGAAGAGAGGCTTGTGGTACAGTATGTGTGTGCTTTGCTCTACTTTAAAATCAAACGCAGGTGGTGGTCTTCAGTTGCAAATAAAAAAAGGAAAATAAACCAGACTGGTCATTCTAACACAATCCAAGCAGATATTGCATTATGTAGGAGGCAGTGTCCCATCCAGAGAACCATGGTTTTTTTTTTTTAGAGTAAGTGACTTGGTAGAAAATAAAACATTTAGGCTACATCTAGACTGCAAGCCTATTTCAAAAAAGAGAGTATAGACTGCAACCAGTACTTTTGAAAAAGCAAACCGCTTTTTCAAGAGAGCACCCAGGCAGTCTGGATGCCCCGTTTCGAAAAAGCACAGTTTGCATTACATTACATTATTCCTCATAAAACAATGTTTTCCACGGTCAAAAAAACTGCCACGTTCTTTTTATTTACTTTCAAAAGAACGCGGCAGCAGTCTAGACTCAGGGGAAGATTTTTTGAAAAAAGGCTACTTTAAAAAAAAACCTGTAGTCTAGACACACCCTCACAGAGCCACACTGCTTGCCATCTCTCACATACCTAAATCTAGTATGTCCATGCAATACAGCCCCTTTTAAAAGATCTTCTGGCTCTACCCTGTATCTACTATATATTTGAAAAGTTTGTCTGTCTATGCATGAATCTGTCTCTGTCTGTCTGTTGGTTCAAGTACTCCTCCTAAAACAGGAGTGGGGAACCTATGAGCTGCCCCCAGCTTGCCTGGATCTGGCCCCCAAGGCTCAGGGCTCCTCGCCAGCATTGGGCAGCCCACACTGATGCTCCAGTGCCTTGCCCTGCCATCCCCTGCAGGAATGGAACACACAAATCTACTAAGTTGCACCCCACCCCCACCCCAGGCTTTAGTGTGTGAGGGGAATGTGGGGAGTGTCTTTCTGCTGCTCAGTTTGAAGGCCACGTCAGTGAGGGTTTGGGGTTTTTTTGCTTATGTGCAGCCCCCAAATGATTTTTCTGTGGGTCAGCAGCCCCAAAAAAGGTTCCCCACCCTTGTCCTAAATGGTATACAGCTTCAGTATACAGCTTCTTCTTATCATAACTTAAAGCAAGGTAAGGGTTTGATTGTGCCAGGAAAGCAGGATGTGCCTGGAATGAAATTGCTTCTCATAAAATCATACAGAAAAGAGACAACCTCCAGGCAGATGAAAGTGGCTGGCTGCTACTGCTCCCCTCCCGCAGTCTGGGACTGATCCAGACCCAAGCCTCCCATCCCCAGGTGCCCTTTAAGGAGGGCAAGGGGATTGAAGCTCCCTCCTGATTCATACAGGAACGTTGCTGGCTCTTCCCCTTCATCATGGACTAAGAGGAAAATGCACGGTTTGCTGCATTCGTCACTCTGACTGGGGAGCATGGGGGGGGAGGGGAGAAATAAACCTGGACCTGCCCTAGCAGAGGGAGATGCACCCCTCCCCGGCTGTGCTGGCTGGAGCCAAATTGCTGTGGTGAGAGAGGGCTCTAGTCTTCTCTCTTTGGGGCAACCTGCATACTGAATCCCTCCTCTTCAGCCCCACCCCAGAGCAATGATTTGAAGGAAGCATGTACATTTTCATTTGATTTTCCAAAAAACAAAAATTGAGTTAAAGATCCGAGCAGTGCTGGGTAAATCTTCTAGGATTACTGTATGTTGTGTTCTGTCCTGTATTGTTTTCACTTGTGCTTTTAGTCTCATTAGCTCTTTAGGACAGCGATTTATTATTTGTTGTCGGTCACATCTTGTATGGTATCACATGCTCATATGATCCTAAATAAATAATAAAGCATGATGATAATATCTACTAACAGCTGTATCCTTCCATCTCAGGTGCTAACGTGCCTCTTTAAGATGATGCAGACTGACTCCCATTGGAAAATCAAAGCTTTTGCCATCAGAGGTATAGCAGTTAGTTGCTGAAGACCAGTTGTCTTAATAGGCTATTTGTTTGTAAGGATTTTAATATTTTAATTTCTTAAATTATATTTAAGATTTCAAAATCTGCAAGTTTAATGTCAGATGTGGCACATGTGAACAGATAGAAAATCTAATGGGAATAGAAATACAACAGTAGGATCTTCGATATAGAGTACTAATTTAACAAAGTTCATAAACCTTTGCTGTGTGGCCTGAAAATAGTAGCTGTTAACATTTTAAATTTAACTACTTTCATGGATCCTATGCCAGGAGAAAAAGCTCTTTCACTGGTAGATTTGCAAAAGGGGCACAGCAGCACACAAAAACTTCTCAGTCCGCTACAAGGAACAATTCCTCAAATTCTCGAGATTCTTTATTAACCAATTGTTAAATATCAGGGTCCTGTGCAGCAAATTTGCTTTGTATCCCCTCTCTCTCTCTTCTGTGAAAGTTTTTAAGTAGCTAAGAACATCACTAGATGACTTGGGTAGATTTATTTTGGATTTAAAAAATACAGTGATTCAAAGCAGCAATTTTATTGCAGGCTGAGAATTCTAAACTGTGTATAAGCCAGGGCCAGAAAGCATTATTCTAAAAAAATTCATATGAATGAAAATATTCTTTATACTTTTATCTTGGATTTCCTCTGAGGATCTTTGACTCGGATCCTCAAAGGTACATAGGTTCCTAACTTCCACTGAAGTCACTGGAAGTTAGGAATGTAAAATACCTTTAACTTAAGGCCCAGATCTTCAGTGTACACAACACACATTCATTCAGTCTTGCAATCCTAAGCCAAGTACTATATCCATTTTACAGATGAGAAAACAGACAAATTTGGCTTCTTCTTACTCCAGACACCTCCCAGAAAATAGCAATGGGCAATTCTTCCTTAACTTCTAAAATTCTCACCTATGGGGTTCCTCAAAGTTCTATTCTCTCATCATTATGTGAAACCGTGAGAGAAGCACGAGGATCTATGGTCTTTGGTGTCACATGCGAAAAGTATGCAGAAAGAATTCTGCTTTACATCTCCTTCACTCTGACACAAATAGCAACAAATGTCCCAGTGCCTGGCTAAAAGGCAGCTGGCTGAAGCTGGACCCAGACAAGATGGAAGTGATATTGCAGGGAAGGAGGAAACACTTTGGAAAGGAGTTAATATTCCACCTTTCTTTACTGAGGGTGTCTGTCTCCGGACAGTCAAATCAATTTGCAGCTTTGGGCTCCTTATTAATACTGAAGGGAGCGACATCTGCAAGAGAAAAAAAGCAGCCTTCTTCGACACGGGATAGTTAAAAGATTATATCCAATGTTTTGGCTGTGCTGATCCACACATTTGTGATGTGCATTACAGACTGGATTTACTGCATGTCACTAGAGTTAGATACAAGTTGCATCTACCAACCTTAAGCTTTTCTTTTTTTTAATTTGTAGTCCCCTTACTATAGGAGCCTCTGACTTTTACTGGGAGGATCCTTTGTGCTGCAATCTAGCTCTAGAGATTACAACTCCCATGAGCCTTTGGGGAAAAGGGGGAAAAACTTGCTCTCTTCTTCCAGGGTATGTCTACACTACCTCCCTAGTTCGAGGATGGTGGGCTCCATTTTGGGGAAAGGAACCAGATTGCTGGTGTGGAGCCTTTTCCAGGTCAGGAGCTGTGTTGTTGAAGTGAGAGCCTGTTACTGAAAGCCTGCTGGGGCTTGGATCTAGCAGGCTGCTTCAGGGGTTATTGGTGATTATCCCTGGAGAAGAGAGACCCTGGCTGTGCCTGTGGCTGAGAAGGGCCTGCATAAACTTGCATAGAAGTAACTGAGAGTAACTGTGGCTGTTTGGGAAAGTGCTGCCTGGGATGGAGCACAGAAGACAAACTAACTTTGGGTCTAAAGAGAGCCAGAGTGATCTGCCCAGTGAACCAGAGCTGCTAGCATTTGCTGGGGACTGCTCTAGTGGCAGAGGGATTTTGTAGTTGACTGCTGAGCTTGGACTGACACAGAACCCGCACAGTGCTGTCTCCACTCCAGCTGCAGACCTTCAGGCGTGTCCACACAAGTGTCTGGAACGCTGAATCCAGAGGAGTGCGCACTCTGGGGTGGAATAAATGGTGGCAGGGTAAATGCCAGTTAGATAAGTTTCCTTTATTTCTGTGTACTTAGTTAATTGATTTTATTCACTTTTAATCTGTTAAACCCTGTTTAAATTGTTAAGTAAAGGGCTGTTAATTCTAATTCAATCAATTAGATGTATATTATTTAGAATTGTTGTTTTGGTGTTAAATCCAGATTAGTACCATAATTATTTTATTCCTGGAGGCTCCCAAGGCACACCATTAAGTGTGTACAGGGCCAGCCAGATGGAGGCACCACAATTGTATATTCCGAGGCAGTAAGTAATTGGGCATTTTTGGGAAAGTGCTGCCTGGGACAGAACTGCTGCCTAGCTTGGACCCTCATACACACTGCCTACAGAGAATCTCTGTAGGCAGCTGCAGTTCTTCAAGCGTGCCCATGCAAGCAAGAGTCCAGGGATGAATACTGGCAGTGCAAATGCTAAATATATAAGTTCCAATTATTGTTGTGCGCTTTGTTAATGTTATTCATTGTTAATCTGTTAAACCCTGTTTATTTAAGTTAAGATTGTTTATTTTAATGTAATCTATTAGATGTATATGATTTGTAGTTGTTGTTCTGGAATTAGATCCAGATGATTGCTGGAATGAGTTTATTCCTGGAGGCTTTCAAGGCACACTAGTAAGTGTATACAAGGCCAGCCAGGTGGAGGCACTGCCATTGTACATTCTTTATGAGCAAGGGACAGCAGCAAGGGGGTGGTTAGGGTTTCCCCACCTAAACAACATCACCACTGGGATACTTGGGATCTCCTTTAATGTTAAAGCCATCAGGTGCCCAGGCACACATGTGAGTGTGGCCTGCTCTTGAGTAACCCCAGGAGGAAAGAGGGGGTTACAAATTAAAATTACCTTTAATGCAGATTATCTAACTCCTGGCATCAAACACACAAAACCCCAGGCCAAAGACAACTGCCAGGGAGAGAGAGCCGGAAAAGTTTTGAATTTCCGCAAAAGCACTGACTTCCTACTGTAAGAAATCAGTGCTTTTTGCGGAAATACTATGCTGCTCCCGTTCGGGCAAAAGTCCCTTTTGCGCAAAAGGGCCAGTGTCGACAGCTGAGATTTGTTTTGCGCAAAAAAGCCCCGATTGCGAAAATAGCGATCAGGGCTTTTTTGCGGAAAAGTGCATCTAGATTGGCCACGGACGCTTTTCTGCAAAAGTGCTTTTGCGGAAAAGCATCCGTGCCAATCTAGACACTCTTTTCCGAAAATGCTTTTAACGGGAAACTTTTCTGTTAAAAACATTTCCGGAAAATCATACCAGTGTAGACGTAGCCAAACTTTGGTTGCAGAGCAAGTAATTGAACCCAAATCTTCTAAATCCCAGGCTAGTAGCCTAACCACAGGGCAATCCTTCCTCTCTGCAGAATATGTAACATTGCTATGGTGGCACAATTTTTCCACATTGAGGAGGCAGAGCCTTTTGACTGCTATACTTAATGTCAAAATGGTATATTTACATTAGGGATGTAAAATCCCATTTAATCAGTTAACTGGTTAAACATTTTGTTGAACTGGTTAACCTCTTAAATGGAGCTGGACTGGAGCAGCTCTCTGCCCATGGCATGGTGCAGTGGGCCAGTCGGGCTGGAGCAGCCAACTGCCCGTAGCACGGCAGGCTAGGCCCACTGTGGGTGGAGGCTGCTCCAGCCAGGCTGGGCCACCAATTAACCATTCACATCCCTAATTTACATGTCCCTATACACCTCATTTTTCAGTATTTCTGAGGCCTATTATTTACCTCCCATATTACTTTCTTAGGGCTTCCTCCCCAATATGATATCACTAAAATTAGAAAGTAATACATTTAGAACAAATGTTTTAAAATGTTACTCTCATTACCCTAGAATCTTGTAGATTTTGATGCCATAGGATGTGAATAAATCAAACTGTGACTGGATTTCTAAAAAGAATGGGATAATGTTATGATTGAGCCAATATTTGTAGATGGGTATAAGGCTAAAATAGATGTAATCAAATCCATGCAGGAGATAAGTTGATTGCTACACAGGGCAGCAAAGAATCTTCACCTCTTGCCCTTTCCCAAGCAACTCTGCACAATTGACAAAGCACGTTGGAGATGTGTTTTTGTTTTATGGGTTTTTTTTAACCTTTGCTGTTGCATGGGATATTAGCTACTTGCCAGAGGTTTCTTCTGCCCTGTTTGGAAAATCTGTGTTCCTAAGTTTCCACAAGCAGGAAGCCCTTTGGAATACTTAAGAAAGAAGCACATGAGTTAACACAACCAAATCCTGACATGAAAGCATTTAAACAAAGCAAAGTACTTGTTTTCTCATTTTGTGGCAGCACTGGGCCAAATAGGTCATGTGACCCCTCAACTGAAACATCATCTTCTTTGGGCTGTTCACCATGAGGAAGAACCTGGAGTACGAAGGGAGGCCTGTCGTAGCATTGTAGCTCTCCAGCTGCAGGATGAAAGTGTTCGGGCCGTGTTACTAGAGCGGTTGATTCTGGAACCAAATGAGATGGTCAGAGAGTAAGTAGCCAGGTTCCAAAAGCAAAACATGCTCAGGGCAAAATAAAGCCTCTCTCATTATGGTTTTTAGTGGATACTCCCCAGACTTCTGAGTGTGCGCTGTGTGCCCACCTTCTTTCTAAGGGATACTGCTTTGTTTCCTAACACTGCATCTTCACAACATAGCAGGGATGAGGCAATACATAATTTCCTCAAAGGGCTTCTAAGGATTAATTTGATCACCCCTGAATTAACCCCTCTCTTACTGTCTCCAAAACTTACCTTTCAAAGCAGCTGATGTTTGCTAGGTAGGGTTGGGGGAAGATGGAAGATGGTACAAGTGTTCCTTGTACCATTATTCCAATTCTCTGCACCCACTTCATGAAGCTGTTGCCATCAATATCAGCCAAGATTTCTGAAAATATTTCCACGGGTATCCAACCTCTCTTCTTATTCAGATTTTCCGGCCCTTTCCACACTCGATTTTGAATGTCTTACTAAAGTAGGGAGGTTTGGTCAGACTTTCACATTTCACATAACTTCTCAAGGGAGACAGAATACAAATACCCCAATTCCATGATTCTTGAACTGTGGTCCATGGAGACCTTGCAGATCGTTTGGGAGAGCTGGCAAGTCATATGGTGTCAGCTGTTGTCTTTATCCAACATTAAATGAAGAGAAAAAGGTTTTCCCAATATTGAGTTTGGTCCATATAAATTATTGTCACAGTAGTCATTGATATGTGCTAAGGGCCAAACAGGAAATGCAATATCATAGGAAAATCTCTCTATTAAGCTGTGCTCCATGCTATGGCAAATATTTGAGAATTCTTGCCTTAACTGGAATGTGGGTATTACACTTCTCTTCTGATGAAAGATACTATCATATAATTAAAGACCAGGGTCCAGTTCTGATGTTACTGATGTTGGTTTTACATTAGCGTGACTCAGTTGGCTTCAATAGTTACCCCATAGATGTACCTGTGTAACTGAGATCAGGGTCACAAGTGGTCAGGATCATCATTTTTACTTCTCATCTGGAAGTGTGCCCCAGCATCACGTCCCCTAACATGTTACAGCATTGCTTCAGTATCAACACAAAGACAAAAAAAATCCTTAAATATGTTTAAATCACATGTTTAAATATATTGTGAACAGTATTGTGTTAATACTGCTTCCAGCAGCACCTAACAAATCATTAAAGCTAGTTATCTTACCTACTTGCTCCCCTCTCTCATCTGCTACCTCTATGCAATTCTGTACTTGCTCCCCCGCCAATCCTCTGAAGCCCAGACCAGCTGGTGGCCCAACCCATGCCAGTGTGGGAACACAATCCCTTCCTTCAACAGTTTACAGTGATAGTTGCTGTTAGCTCTTCTTCACACATGTATGTGAGGCAAACAAGAGAAGGCAGCACATATTGAAGGGCTTGGCTGGTTCCCAGATAGCATTTTAACTTCATTGCTCTTTGTGGCTCTCGCTTTTCCTTCAAGATTCTACCTTAGTAACAAGTCCTCTGTCACTTCTGTTTAGGGAGATGAATAAAGCTGTGAAGGCTCTCAATTTTCAACATGCAGAGGAACAAGAAATGATTCAGAAGATCAAGAATGAGGTAAAGACACTGAGACCCCAGCTCATAAATGAAATGTGGTCTGGGCTTTGGGCTGGAAGATAAGGGAACAATATAACTTTGTATTTGGTGGTGGGTAGAAGGCAGCAGATCTCTCGCATACCACAGAGCTAATATAAATTTGAGTAGAAGGAGGCATGACCATCCCAGCTAGAGGATGGATGTTCTAAGAGATAGTAAATAACCTCACTTACATGGGGAAATAGAATCTAATGTGCCCCTGCCTACGCACCACAAAACTGCATTGGCCTTTTTTGTTACCAGACTTAGATTCATTTACTGCCAGCTTCTCAGAATTGGAATATTAAATGGTGCTTCAAGGAGAAGTCAAAACAGAGAAGTCTCTGTCCCAGGTGCATGTGATCACTCATATTATGTGCACTATATAGCAAAGGCTCTCACTTTTTATCCAATGTTAGGCACAGCTACATTCAGAAAATTGAATATAAAAATATTTCTCCTTTTCCTACTTAAAAAGGAGGATTTAAAAAAATTGTCAAATAATGCTCTCTCATAGTTACATGTAGTTCATCATATATTCAAGGTGCTGTGTAATGAAGGACTGTACTGCATCATTCCATCTTTTTTTCCTGTATTTCTGGACACATCCATGGGAGGACTGCAACTCACACAGCTAGCATTCAGGCCCACCCATATCTGAGCATGGGTGTAGTCCCAGCAGCTCTGTTGGTAGACTTGCATCAAGTTTCCTGTGCAATATATAGAACTTTACATATACGTTTTTCCATTCAAACTACCAAAAAAAATCATTTGTAGATTTTCTTTGTAACATATACGTTTTTCCATTCAAACTACCAAAAAAAATTATTTGTAGATTTGCTTTGTGTGGCCATGGCAATTATGATGGTCCCATCCCACACTGTTTCATTCATTTGGTACTCTCACTTTCACAAAAATACTGATAACTGGAACTACCCAGAGTGCTCTCTCACAAAGTGATAATGTCAGAATTTAATGAAAATAACTCTGCAAGATTTAATAATCCAGCCAAAAATATATTTGCCCTCCTCTTTACCATGATAATTAATAATGGAAAAAACTAGTCACTGGCCCCAAAATTGCTCATGGCACTCAATTTTGCAATTAAGAATTTGAAGAGTTATCCTCGGAGTAACTGGTCTCTTGTTCCATGTTTTTTATACAGATTTCCAGGCTAAGCCAAAAGGATTTGGTGACCCAGAAACTGATAAAACTTGAAGAGCTTATAGATCACCTGTGGCAGGAAGTCAATCGAATATATCATGCAAAGGAAGAGCACGGCTCTGCCCACAAGGATATAATAGAGAGACTCATAACTGAACTTGGATCCACTGTCTCTGGTAATGAGAATGCATGGGTTAAAAGCGATGCGTTACATAGACCTCTTTTTGGAAAAGATCGTAACAGTCTTTTAAGTTACTTGTTCAGTGGGAGGAGGTTATATCATTCAATAGTTCTTCCAAGAGATTCTGCATATCATTCAAAGGCCAGGAGAGTTGTAGATGCAAAAGATATAAAACACGATTTAATAAATTTTCTGGGCTGCTAAGCTACCTTGCACTGCTTGGCTTTAAAATGGCTGGAGCTAATCAGTATAGAATTCCTCTTGCATAGGGAAAACTCTTCACACCTAGAACACTGACCTCCTACTACCACCTGCTAGTGCAGTGTTGGACAGAACACATAGAAGCACTTCTTACCAGTCAGGAGAATAGAATGTGCTGAGTAAAAAGGTTCTGGTGGGTGGAGGTGAAACTGCCATTGTCATTAGGAAGGCAGACAGGGAGCCAATTACCCCAATTACCAATTACCTGGTAATTGCACATACCAGCCGCAGTCTCCAGGAGAGGGGAACGGAGAGCACAGTGCAGGCAAGCTGGCTGGCCTGCAGGAGGGGAGCTGCACTTGCGCCGTGCAGCCGCAGCCAGGCACAACCCACCCTCCTCCAGGAGGGAGGGGAACGGAGAGCGCGGCGCAGGAGAGCTGGTCGGCCTGCGGGAGGGGAGATGCACTCGCACCCAGGCAAGTAAAAATAAACTTGTATACCCCGAGGACACGTATACCCCGTGGGGCGGTTGCGGGGTTTGTAAAAACTTTGTATAACCCGCAGGTTATATGTGCTAAAATACGGTATATAAATCCCTTCCTCATAGAGAAAAGTTGCTGATAGAGAGGATTCTTTACTGTTCCTCTCCCCTGACCCCATTTTCAGAAACTGGAACAGAATCCAGATCTGATCTGTCAAGAGTTTCCTTGCTCAGATCTGAATATTGTAGAGTAGGTGGATTTGAGGACTGGGCCAAGGTTGACAGTATATAGGGAGGGAATGATGAGAGGGGTCAGGGCATCTGACAAGAACCAAATGATATCCTACCATGAAGGGGACAAAGTCAAAAGGCCTACAATTTTCATGGCGCAATAAAAAGTGGGTTCCTCCTTCTAACCCAATGAAACACTCTCCGCAATGATTGTATTAGGCTTGCCATTTGAGTGCTGACCACAAGATCAAGAGAACCCAGAAAGCTATCAGTGAAAACTATCACTCCCAATTTACAAGATCTCAATGGGGGATTGGATAGGCAAACAAAGATGAGATTTAGGTAAAAGGGAGTGTTCCTGTGGTCTGAATAGACTGGTAGAATACCAGCATTACACTATTTGAGAGAAGAATTTGGCCTGGTCTTTTTCATTTCAGTACTAAAATTATCATCATAATCAACAGCATGGAGTCAGGGGTGGGCAAATTCCAGCCCCCGGGCTGGATCCAGTCCACAGGGTTAGTCCCTGGCAGACCCCCACCTCCATGTCTACTTGTGCCTCCACAGGTCTTGAAGGACTGGAGTTCTCATTGGCTGCGGATTGCCATTTGGGGCCAACGTGAGCTGCAGGAAGCGGCATCCTGGTCCGTGACGCTTCCTGCTGCTTTCATTGGCTGCGAATGGCAATTTGTGGCCCACCAGAGCTGCAATCCTCCAATTACCTGTCCATCCACAGGTAAACATAGTGGCGGCGGCCCACCAGAGACTAACCCTACAGGCTGCCATTCTTTTATTACCCACCCATGTTCTAGGGCTATGTCTAGACTGGCATGATTTTCTGGAAATGCTTTTAACGGAAAAGTTTTCTGTTAAAAGCATTTCCAGAAAATCATGTCAACAGAAAAGTTTTCCATTAAAAGCATTTTCAGAAAAGTGCGTCTAGATTGGCAGGACGCTTTTCCGCAAAAGCACTTTTTGCAGAAAAGCATCCGTGGCCAATCTAGACGCGCATTCTGCAAAAAAGCCCCGATCGCCATTTTCACGATCGGGGCTTTTTTGCAGAAAACAAATCTCTGCTGTCTACACTGGCCCTTTTTCGGAAAAAGATTTTTGCCCAAACGGGAGCAGCATAGTATTTCCGCAAAAGCACTGACAATCTTACATGAGATCATCAGTGCTTTTGTGGATATTCAAGCGGCCAGTGTAGACAGCTGGCAAGTTGTTCCGCAAAAGCAGATGATTTTGCGGAAAAACTTGCCAGTCTCAACACAGCCTCGGTGTTTACATTACATTAATGCTTATATTAAAATTTTTCAATTCTACCTTATGCAAAATAGATTTGACTGCACTTATATTTACTAGATGTAAACATTGGTTAACCAAATCATTCTATAATAGGAAATTTATAAACTGTCTAGGACTTTGACCTAATGAGGAGCTTTAGCTGGATTCAAAATGCTTAATCATTAAAAAAATTCACAAAACACTTCATGATATCAAAGAATTAATTTCTGTCATTTCCAAAATCCGTTCTGGTACTGGCCCCTGCAAAAAGCTTAAGCTACTACTGCTGGTGTTGCAGCAGCTATTGACGTCCTTATTTCCAGTGTTACATAAACATCAGCTTCAGAGGGGTAGCCGAGTTAGTCTGTAACTGGAAAAACTTAAAAAAAGAACAAATAGTCTTTAAGGTGCTGCTAGACTAACAAAACATGTACAGGCAGTCCCCGAGTTACGCGGATCCGACTTATGTCGCATCCGCAGTTACGAACGGGGCCGTTCCTCTCCCTGGTCTCCAGCAGACCAGGGAGAGGAAGCAAAGTGGCGGAACACGTGGGCAGCGGACAGGGCTGTCCCCTGCCCACGCGCTCCGAGGCTTGGCTCTGCTTCCCCCCCCCGTCCTCCTGGTCTGCAGACCAGGGGGATGGAAC